TGTCAACTTCCCAAATGGCCACACATTTTATTGCCTAGGAAATTGGGGTCTGTCACTTCCCAAGCTGGCTTTCCTGCCCAGCTGCTTATTGTAAGTCTCACACCTGGGGCTGGGAATGGAATGTTGTAAACTGTTGAGTACACTGAGAGGAATGCTCCGCTTAGAGCAAAGAGCTTGCAAAGAATCATGGGGTTTGATTCAAACAGGCCAAGGCCGTCTGCTAGCAAGGGCAAAGACAGATATATATGGATTTCATAAACTATTTGGTTCATTTTAAACCCAAACCACCGATATTTCTGAAATTTCTTACCACAACAGGCCTTCCATCTGTAGCCACTCACACAGAGGTTTTGGCTGTAGCGGGCGTGGCCAACTCTGAAGCCAGCCAGAACTCCATTCCTGTGTGTTCCTGCCCAAAAATAGCCCTGCTCAGAGGTATACCGCTGAGGATGCCAGTCACAGCTGCTGGCGAAACATCAGGTCCTACAATGCCAAGACCACAGCCATACAGCCTGGAAAATCTACAACAACTAATGAACTCCGGCCGTGAAAGCCTTCGACAACACCATTTTGCACCATTTTGCATTTCTTTTGTTTCCTCTGCACCATTTTGTTTCTTCATCTTTGGAAACAGATGCCAAAAGAGCTGATCAAAGGATACTTCTGGTAACCAAGATGTTAATATTAAGGGCCTGAAAGGACCATAGCCTTACCAGAACTGAAAAGTACGCAAACGGAGAGTGATTTCAGCAAAGCGTACTTTATTCTATCCGGAACAAGACAACTTTGGCCAGCTCGCAAGGCTGGCTTATATCCCCCGAGAAACCGCCACCCAAAACACACCCCCTACTTCCCTATAGGTTATTTACAATGGCTGAGAGTCCCATAGGCTCTTGGCCGGGAACCTAGCCCCCTGATTGGAGCGGGCTAGGATCCACATAGTCCATTGTCTCTTGGAGCGAAGCTCTACGTTTGTCTCTGGACTTGTCTGGACTGGATACATTACACCCCTCCCCCCTTGGTCTGCAATGCACCCACAGACAAAGTCCTTCAGGTGGGCTCGTAACTTCCTGGTGTGGGTAGAGTGGTCAGGTTCAGGGACTGCTCCGGCTTCTACCCCAGGAGCCCTCGGAGGTGAGCTGGCCAGGAGAGGCACCAGGGGTGGTGGTGCCGGCATCACCGGCGCCTCCAGAAGAGGTGTCTTGGGTTCAACCAAGGGTAGAGGCCGGGGGTCGGCCACCGGGAGTTGGGCCTGGGGTGAGGTATCCGGAACCTTGGCCCTGTCCGAGTCCTCGGGGTCCAATGGCATTGTTCGGCAGCATAGCTGGTCGATGTGCCGGTGTAGAACTTGGCCGTCTTCACAAGAGACCTCATACGATCTGGGGCCCTTAACTCGTATGACTCGAGCCAGGATCCAGGTGGGCCCCCAGGCGTAGTTCCATGCGTACACGGGATCTTCCGGAAAGAAACCCGTGGCTGCCTCATGGGTCTCTGTGCCCGGTGCCTCTGTCAATGCCCGGTCGGGGTGCAGACGATCCAACCGGGTTGCCAGACAGCGGCCCAGAAGTAGCTCTGCCGGACTGCGCCCTGTAGTGGTGTGGGGCGCTGTTCTCTAGCTGAAAAGGAAAGCCGCCAGTTTATAATCCCAGTCCGGGGAGTCCAAGCGGCGGAGAGCATACTTTGTGGTTTTGACCATGCGTTCGGCCTGGCCGTTGGTGGCAGGGTGGAATGGGGCAGCCGGACGTGGTGGATCCCGTAGTAGCTTGTGAATTCCTGGAACTCCGCTGATGTGAACACCGTCCCGTTGTCCGTGACCAGCGTGTCGGGGATTCCCTGGGTGCTGAAGATCCACCACATCGCCCGGATGGCCGCCTTCAAGGAGGTGGCGGGCACAGGAACTACCTCCAGCCACTTGCTGAAGGAATCCACCAGGATAAAGAAGAGTTGCCCTTGGAACGGTCCCACAAAATCCAAGTGCAACTGGGACCAGGGGCAGTCGGAAGATTCCCAGGCCCGTTCCGGGGCTTGGGGAGGTTCGGGCCGGGACGCTTGGCAGGGGTTGCACCACTTCACCACATCCTCTATGTCCCAGTCCAACCCCGGCCACCAGACGTAGCTCCGGGCCAAAGGTTTTATGCGTACCACCCAGGGTGCGTTTCGTGAAGGGTGGTGAGGACCGCTCCCGTAGGGGTTTTGGGATGACCACCCTACTACCCCACATGACACAGCCCCGGTGGACAGACAGCTCGTCCTTCCGGGAAGCAAAGGATGTTATGTCAGGGTCTCCTTTGGCCACAGGCCACCCCCTCACCACCCAGTCCAAGACCCGGCAAAGTACCTTATCCTTGGAGGTGCCGCGAGCCACCTCCGCGACGTGGACCGGCCAATCCGGAAGGGTCTCCAGGAGAGTGATCTGGTGGGCGGGAGCTGGATCCAGGTCACAGACTGGCAGCGGCAGGCAGCTCAGGGTGTTCACGTGGCCCATTGCCTTGCCAGGGCGATGGATGAGAGCGTAGGAGTACTCCACCAGGAAAATAGACCAGTGGCGCACCAAGGGCGAAATCATCTGGGGGGTCTGGCGGTCGGAGGCCAGGAGGCCCTGCAGCAGCTTGTGGTCCGTGAGGACCATGAAGGGCCGCCTGTACAAATAGTGGTGAACCTTTTTCACCCTGCCACAATCGCCAACGCCTCGTTATCGATCTGCACCTAATTGTGCTCAGCCGCTGACAGAGTCCTGGAATAATATGCAACCGGGACCTCATGGCTGTCCGGCAGCCTGTGGCCCAGTACCGCTCCCACCACGTAGGGGAAAGCATCACAGGCCAGCACCACCGGGAGCGCCTCATTGAAATGCGCCAGGACCGCATTCGAGATGAGCAGGTCTTTGACCGCCTGAAACGCAGCTGCTTGTGGCGGACCCCAGACCCAAGGTGCCGACTTGTCTAGGACACGATGGAGCAGTTCTGCGACTGCAGCTTTGAGGGGCAAAAAGGAGTGGTAGAAGTTCAGGAGCCCCAAAAAGGCCTGCAGTTTGGACTTAGATGTTGGAGGCGGCGCTTGCGTGATGGCGGTCACCTTGTCCACGGTGGGATAAATGCCTGAAGTGTCAACCGCGAAGCCCAGGAACTCAACGCGCGGCACCCCCAAGAGACATTTCTCCCGCTTGACTTTGAGCCCCGCTGCGTCGAAATGTTGTAGAACGGTCCGCAGACGGTCTATGAAGGACGAGTCGTCTGGCGCAGCGATCAGCACGTCGTCTAGAAATGGCTGAACCCTGGGGATGCCTTTCAGGAGAGAATCCATAAAAGATTGAAAAATCCCTGGCGCCACCGAGACTCCGAACTGGAGGCGGTGAACCTTGAACGCCCCCCTGTGTGTTGTGATCATTTGGGCTCTGGCATGGCGGCATCAACCGGCAGTTGTTGATACGCCTGTGCCAAGTCCAACTTGCCAAAAACCCGGGCTCCTGCCAAAGCCGCTAACATGTGGCTCACCACCGGCACTGAATAAGCGTGTGCCTGCAGAGCCTTGTTTAGCATGCATTTATAGTCAGCACAAATACGCACGTCACTGTTGGGCTTCACCGGGGTGACTATGGGGGTCTCCCACCGTGCCGAAGTGACTGGTTCCAGGACCCCTTGTTTCACTAAGCGATCTAGCTCGGCCTCGATTTTTGGCTTCATTGCTAGGGGCGGCATCCAGGCCTTGATGCGAATGGGCTGTACCGCCGGGTCTAGATCCAGGGAGATGGGGGGGGCAGAGAAACATCCCAGTGTGCCATCAGAAACGTGGGGAAATTCCGTGCACACCACGCCAAAATCCCGTGACCTGACCTGATGGATTCCATTCAGAGAGAGTCCCAGGGCCTCGAACCACGAGAGTCCTAGCAGGCTGGAGAGAGGCCTATCCACCACCAGCAGGTTGGAACTGTACCCGGAACTTGCCCCAGCCCAGCACCGCCACGGGATTCTTCTTGAAGTCCCTTAACCGGAAACCCTGCGACTTCTGCAGGGGCGGGCCCCCCTTTGGGTATAGCATGCGGAGCGTATCCGAAGAGATAATGGAGTAGGTCGACCCTGTGTCGATCTCCATGCTGCAGGGGGATCCCTCTATAAGGACCGTGACATGCATCTTGTTGGGGCCATTGGGGGGCAAGTTACAGACCTGGTGTTGCGGGAAGTGGGCCGATATGGAGTGGAGGTCGCTGGGCAGCTTCGGCGTGGCCTGGTGCGCGGCCAACTTCTGGCGTTGTCCTTTGGAGCGGCAAACCCGGGAGATGTGCCCCGATTTGTTGCAGGTCCGGCAGACTACGTTTCGGAAGCGGCACGACCAGCACTCGTGGCCCTCACCACAGCTGGCGCACGTGGCAGAGGCGGTCAAAGAGGCCTTGCTTGCGTTGGTGGACAGCTGAGACGACCGACAACGGACTTGGTGCACTTGGTCCTTGTCCGAGGTGTCGGGGTTGGCTGTCGCTTGCGTGCGGTGGACCGCCTTGATGCAGCGGTCTTGGTGTGCCTTTTCGTATGCAGGGGCCTCCTGGATTGCCTTCTCTAGGTCCAGGTCGTCCTGGCTTACCAGCTTCCTCTGAAGCTTCGGCTCTCGGAGTCCCACGAGGAACTGGTTGAGGAGAGTTTCGGCTAGGTTGGAGAAGAAGCACTTGGTTGCACTCTGCCGCAGAGCCGCCAGGAAATCTGAGGCGGTCTCGTCGGGGCCCTGGACCTTCACAAAAAAGTCCAGGCGCTCCACAAACTTCGTTGGTTTAGGAGCCAGATGGTCGGTCAGCGCCTTGACCAAGGAGCTGTACAACTCGTCTTTGGTCATCTTGGGCGCTATTAAGTCCTTAAGCAGGAGATGGGTCTCCATCCCACAGTGGCGCAGCAGGTACGCCTTTTTTATATCTGGATCCACCACTTTGTGGATGGTGAAGTGGCTCTCGAGAGTTTCCAGCCAGGTCTCCCACTGCAAGGGTTGAGAGATGTCGAAGACTGGGAGACTCCCTGATGCGGCAGCCATCTCATGGGTTCCATGTGGAAGTGAGCGGTGTAGACGGCGGAGCAGTGCGGTGCTGCTCTCGGGGTCAGCAGGGCGATGCTCAGCGTTGCATAGAGGCGGAGCAGCGCGGTGCTGCTCTCGGGGTCAGCGGCGCGATGCTCGGAGCTCGGGAGCGGTGCAGGGAGCGGCGCTTCTCAAAGATGCGCGATGCTGGCGGCGGTGGCAAATTCAGCACGACGGCTCATGGTGATGTCCTGAACGTGGTCTCTGTTCCAAGGGAGATGGATCCCATCCTCGTCACCAGTGAAAAGTACACAAAGGGAGAGTGAATTCAGCAAAGCATACTTTATTCTATCCGGAACAAGACGACTTTGGCCGGCTCGCAGGCCGGCTTATATCCCCCGAGAGATCGCCACCCAAAACACACCCCTACTTCCCTATAAGTTATTTACAGTGGCCGAGAGTCCCATAGGCTCTCGGCCGGGAACCTAGCCCCCTGATTGGAGCGGGCTAGGATCCGCATAGTCCATTGTCTCTTGGAGCGAAGCTCGACGTTTGTCTCTGGACTTGTCTGGACTTGTCTGGACTAGATACATTACAAGAACTGAACTAGTGACCCAAAAATATTTCAGAGCTTGCACAAAGGGGGAACATACATTCACAGTCAAGGAGCACTGGAGAAATTTGGTCAACATATCCTGTAACTTCTGAGAAAATTATGACACTCCATTATTTGAATTGTTATCCAGTTATTCAGCTGCCTGTCCACTCATCCCCATTGCTTTTTCTTATTAATTTTTAAATTCTCTCTCTTCTATTGTCCAAGCTCATCTACTACCAATCTTCTATAAACCCCCAATTGGTATTAGGCTTGATTCAGACATGCACACATGCAGCAGGATGAGGCTGGCTGTGTGCCAATGTGATAGAATGTACTGTAAGTTGCTGATCACATTTCCCTAACACTGAAAACTTGCAAACAGAAAACCAGTGCAGCAACCAAAATGCCAGGTTTGAAGAACCCCTTCTCCCTGCTATGGTAATTTTATATTTGTGGGAAGTTTTTTACACAGGACTGAGCACTGAAGAATGGGATCTACCTGCAGTCTGGAGTGGCACAACATACCACATTTTGTCTGTATGCATGAACCAGGCCTTATGCCCTGGTGGATACAAGATTTACCTCCCAAGAGCAGTGCTTTTCAGGGGCCACCACATTATCATGGAAGTCTCTCCCCCGAGAAGTTGATTAATCTCCCTCATCTCATTGAACACATCACGTTGCCTTATACTGACTCAGATCACAAGTCCATCAAGATCAGTATTGTCTGTTCAGACTGGCAGTATTGTCTGTTTAGACTCCATGGTCATGGGTCTCTACCTAAGGTCTTTCGCATCACTTAGTACCAGATCCTTTCAAATGGATTGAACCTGGGGACCTTTTACATGCCAAACAGATGCTCTACTACTGAGCCACAGCTTCTGTCCTTCCCAGCCCTTCCTTCATTCTTTGAAAAAGCTGAAGAGGCTTCTGTACCACTGGGCATTTGTGGACTGGGTACAGCTCGCCTTAAGGACTGGAAGTTATCCTTTCTGTTGTTTGATCTTGGTGGTTTCCTGATACCACAGCTATCCTTTTTTGTTATTTTCTTCTCTCTTATAGTTTTAACTGCTTCACAAGCTTTATAAATACAAGGGCTTTCAAAATATTACAAATAAACCACAAAAAGATGCAGCGGTCAGAATACAATACAGCGTGCACACCCCAAAGCCGCCTCCTTCAGATACACGCCAGGAGTGAAACTGTCTTAACTTGGGGGCTGAAGAGAGGTGGCCAGAGATGTCTCTCAATTGGTGTAGTAGGGGCCATTGCAGAAAAGACTCTCTGCTTGCTCACTGCACATTCACATCTGATGGGGGTGGGCAAAGTGGGGCCTCCAATTATGATCTCAATGCACGGGCAGGCCCATAGGAGAAGAAGTGATCTTTTAAATATCCTTGTACTAAGTTATTCATGTGGTGTACATGGCCTAGGGTTGCCACTTCTGAGTAGGGAAATACCTGGAGATTTAGGGGGTAGAGCCTGTGGAGGGCATGGTTTGGGGAGGGGAGGGACCTCAACAGGGTATAATGCCATAGGATCTACCCTCTAATGCAGCCATTTTCTCCAGGGGAACTGATCTCTGTCATCTGGAGTTCAACTGTAATAGGAGGAGATCTCCAGGTTCCACCTGGAGGTTGGCAACCCTAAGTGGTCCTCATAGCAATACAGATACAGTGGCACGATAGGGGGCTAGAGGCTGGAAGGGGGAAATAAAAGCTGGCTTCACTTTTACCTCAGTGTGGTGCCCTGACTCTGTCAGCTCTTCGTGGCAGCGGACCGAAGACTTACCGGAGCCTCTTCAAAGACAGAAAGGAGAGACCAATAAGTATGCAAAGTACCTTCGGAGACTTAATCACTGAAACTACAATCTGCATATCACTGCTACACTAACAACTGAGCAGGTGCAGACTGACCATTTCATAATTTACAGGGAAATTTCCCAAGTTGAGAGCCAGTTTGGTGTAGTGGTTAAGTGTGTGGACTCTAGTCTGGGAGAACCGGGTTTGATTCCTCCACTTGCACCTGCTGGATGACCTTGGGCAAGCCGTAGTTCCGATAAGAGCTGTTTTTGAAAAAGAGGAGTTTCCGTCAGAGCTCTCTCAGCCCCACCTATCTCACAGGGTGTCTGTTGTGGGGAGGGGAAGGGAAAGGAGATTGTAAGCCGCTCTGAGACACCTTTGGGTAGTGAAGGGCGGGGTATAAATCCAATCAATTCTCTTCTTCTTCTTCTTCTTTCAGCTAGGGTAGCTTGCAACCAATCTCTAGACTACAGAGATCGGGTTCCCTGGAGAAAATGGCAGCTTTGTACTGTGGACTCCATAGCATCGCATCCCTGCTGAGCTCCCTCCCCTCCTCAACCCTCACTCTCCCCAGGCCTCCGCCCCCAAATCTCCAGGAATTTCCCAATTGAGAGTTGGCAACCCTACTGCTAGAAGTGGACTAGGAAGCAAAAATGGCCCTGGGGAAAACCCAGCTGAGAGGCCCCTATAGTGCTTAAAAGCCATAACAGCAGGGAACCTCAGCTCATCAAGGCCGTCCATTGCCTCATCTCGCACAGTGGCAACAGTGTGGGAAGAGACAACTGATGAGCAGACACTGATTACCATTGCTGGTTAAGGGTCTGAGCACAGTGGCCCCTGAGGCACTGGTAGAACTGCTGGGGTTTGGTTCTGCTTGCTCCAAGACACCAGTGGCCCATGAGGGCAGCAGCCCACCAGGAAATTTCCCTGTAAATTCAACGACCAATCTGCCCTGGCCCTAAAGGGCTTCTGGTCACCAGGGGAAGAGAAGCCCCAAGAGCTCTGCCAGAGACTCAGGGGCTACACAGCAGCTCAGACCCTTAACTGGCACCAGGAATTGACATCAGTTCATACATTGTCTCCTTCCGCACTTCTGCCAGTCTGTGGGTGGAAGCAGTTGCTAAGCCAATGGTCAGTGTTGCTGACACTGAGCAGAGTGGCTACGATGATACTTGTAGCTCTTATACGGGTTGCTCAGCTTGGCTTACTCCATAGAATCCCTTCAGGGTCATCTAGTCCAGAGCCATTTTCATTTCTCATCCTGACCTACCCCAGAAGCTCAGAGAACTCAGCCTGCAAGGAGATAAAGTTGAATCCAAACCTAGGGTTGCCAACTCTCTGTTAGGAAATTCCTGGAGATATGGGTGTGGAGTCTGGAGAGAGGAGGGACCTCAGCAGGGTATAATGCCATAAACCTCTGGCCTGGTCAGCCTGGTCCCTTACGTACAGCAGCTGAGCAGTGAACCACCTCATTCTTTCCAGGAGAAGCCCAGAGGAAACTGTTCAAAATAGAAAAAGAGGAGCAAGAGAAAAATTTATTTTTGTCTAATTTTGCTCTCACGGGAACCAGTATCTGATTATTATAGCCCTATTAAAAGCTGTCTGCTCCTTGGGAGGAAAGCGATGGCGAACCTAAACAGCATGATAAAAAGTAGAGACATCACCCTGCCAACAAAAGTCTGCATGGTCAAAGCAATGGTATTCCCAGTAGTCATGTATGGCTGCGAGAGTTGGACTATAAGGAAGGCCGAGCGCCGAAGAATAGATTCTTTTGAACTATGGTGCTGGAGAAAACTCTTGAGAGTCCCTTGGACTGCAAGAAGATCAAATCAGTCAATCCTAAAAGAAATCAACCCTGACCAATGTTCCCTCTAAGCTATGGAGTCCTGTGAGCAAAAATTCTACTTTGTGAGCTACTGGCCTTAAAGTTGTGAGCAAGCGATTTGGCTACTTCATAAATTAGTTTGCTCAGGAGCTGTCCTTCCTGAGTGAAGACAAAAATGTGTGAGCCGAAAGCTAAAAAACTGTGAGCTAGCTCACACTAGCCCATCTTAGAGGGAACACTGAGTCCCTGACTGTTCCCTGGAAGGCCAGATACTAAAGCTGAAGCTCAAATACTTTGGCCACCAAATGAGAAGGGAGCACTCACTGGAGAAGACCCTGATGCTGGGAAAGATGGAAGGTCAAAGAAGACGGGGACGGCAAAGGATGAGATGGTTAGACAGTGTCATAGATGCAACGAACATGAAATTGAGCACACTTCAGAGGACGGTGGAAGACCGGAAGGCCTGGCAGGAGCTGATCCATGGGGTCGCAAAGAGTTGGACTCGACTGTGCGACTGAACAACAACAACAAAAATATGCATATATGGGTACAATTCATTCAGTAGAAGCTGGTGAAAGGGCTTCAGCATGGCCAGCTCTCTGAGACACTGCAAAATGAGTTTAATCTCACCCTAGAGGCAACCAAATCCCTCCAGAGGCCTCATATAAAACAACAGGCAGTCCTCAGGGACACCTTTACACAGGAGACCATAACTGAAGCTGTTGATTGTGCAAAAAATAAACAAAAACCCACTGATGCAAAAGGCTGACAGAGCTGTGGCAATTCACCCCTAAGAAAATAGAACATCTTATGAACTCATTGTAGAGAAAATGGCCAAAAAGGCCAAAAAACTGCTACTGCGTTTTTGGAAGCAGCACTTTTCTCATCCCCAAGAAGATTCTCCCAGGGACACAGAAATAACTTATGTAGGAGTAGTTGGTGGAGATGATAAAAATGAATCACCAACCACCATCATTGTAGAAAATTTGTCAGACTGAATTTGAATAGGTGCAGGGAG